CTTGCATTTGGCCTTGTTGAACCTGATTATACGGCCTGTATCTACTTGCTCATTTTTCAGCACTACAAAAATAGCGTTACATTATTATATATAATTCCAGTTAATTTTGTTACACAATCTGTAAAATGGATTAAATTTGGTGTATTTCTTGTAGTGCCACATGCGTTGCTCTTTTATAATAGTATGATTTACAAAGACTTTATCTGTAAAGTTCACAGAGTGCGTGTCCTCCTGCTCCTGCCAAAGTCAGTGATATCGTTCATAGTGGTGGAAATGGTTTATAACTGTGTTCATGCTTCCTTCATTTTTTGTTAGGGAGTAAAAGGTTGCATAAACTGCCAGGAACTACTGGGATTTTTTTCAATATTAAAAAAAACACACCCTGAAGGTCAGGAGAGTATGTGATCTTCTAGAAGATTATAGGGTCGTGCAGCTGTGAATGATGTTAAGAACACTGTTTTCTAAAGGAGTTAAGCTGTAACAAACTCAGATTTTTTTTTTTTTCTGCAGGACAGCAATAAATAAAAATAAAATATTTTATAAATAAAATCTGGAACAGGCAAGGCAAGGCTGAAAACCTGCTGGTGAAGTCACAGTACCTGAGTTTCTCCATAGCTGTTCTTACCCTGCCAGCATGTCACTGGTGTGCTTGACCATCTAGGTCCCTTGTGGCTTCTGACTTCTGCTCCCTATGAATATCCCCTTATCATCTGCTTTAAGATTTCTGCACTGCATCTGTTCCTTGCTTTGTTGTGATTTCCCTTCTGTTGCCTGACTGGATCTGCAGAGGGAAAGAATATGAATTAACATGGATAAAATTTTCATACTCATTAGACACCTTGGTTTTAGTGTAAAAAGTCTTGTTACCTCCCTGAGAGCAAACTCAGATTGATGAGTAGCCATTAGTAAAAGGCATATCTGTGTTTATTTTAGGGAAGGCCTGTGGATTTTCCCCCCGCAAAACTAAAGGCAGGTTATGGAGAGCAAGTGTGCTATGTTCTTGATTGTTTAGCTGAAGAAGCCTTAAAATACACTGGCTTTACCTGGAAAAGGTATAGTACACTTTTAAGTATCCTCCCTTTCACATTTTTTTCTCAGCAAGCAAATGTATGTTTTAATTCTAAAGACAAAACACAGTAATGACTAAAAATGTTTTACTTGATGTTTCATGAGATGCAAAACTCAACTAGGCTTGAAGCAGTGGAGCCAATTAATTCCTAATGCAATTTCACACAATTTTTTATTACCAGCAAGGATGAGTCTGGGCTAGACTTAGCTGATTAATAAAGATTTGACTGATTACCTTTTTTTTTTTTCCCCTATGCATAACTGCTTGTTAATGTGACAATGGAGTTGAAACATTTAATGCCCTTTTAGGTCCTATTAATCAATAGCTAAATTCTCGACATCTTCGGTTGAAGGTATGCACAGTATATGATCATGTTACAAGTAAGCTACAGTGACTTTTAAGTATTTAATCTGAAAGAAATCTTAGATGGAATTAGAGGATTTCAAGTATATGAAAATTTCTTTAAAAGTGTTCTTTATTTCATACCTTCCTTCTGATGGGTTTTGAAATTGATACAGTGAAGTAATTTCTACCTTGGAAATATGTTACTGTTACTTCTGTTAGTATACAAATTCCACTATTAGGCTGAAAATAAGTCTGTGGTGACTTGCACTTGAATTTTAAGAGGTCAGACCAAAAGAGAAAAGAAATCAAAATTTACTGCTACTACTGTCTGTAGTACAAATGTACTGTACTGCTTGTCAGAATAACTAACACTTACTTTTAAGACAGTCCAAGATAAACAAAGACTTTTAAGGCTGAGTGTTAAGTTTAAGTATGTGAGACACTGATCACCATCTAGTCATATTCCACATTTCCCACACTTCTTTCGTTTACTACTTAGGAGTGTTTTACAGAGGCATTTCCAATTTGCTGTGTTTGAAAGCTCTGCTGTTCTTTGAACTGATTTCAGGCCGGCGTATCCAACCGAAGAGCGAGAAGAAGAGGAAATAACAGAAGATGATGCAGAATTAACATGTGGTAAACTGGAAGAGGATGTTGTGGTAGGTTTACCTGACTGGTTTTGGTCATATTAGTATGTAGGGAACACGGGTAACAGCAGCTCGACCCAAATAACAGCTCACACTGATACGATTAATGGTTGTTCTCCCTTTATTTGCCCAAATAGCCCAGTTTTATACAGTTCCAAGTAGTTCCCGTCTTAGGGTATTGTTAATTAGGTACAGGTCTGAATTTTCTACACCCCCCCCCAGTATCTATGTTTTTGTATGACGTCAGTTTCTACTCTAAGCTAGCATTTAAGAACTCTTGGCTCCCATCCCCACACTGATTCATCCTGGGTTGCTTACTGCTGTACAGGGATAATTCCCCCACATGAGTATTGGTCAGCTATGAAGAAATTTTTACTCACTGCTCATTTTGTTTGGCTTTGTTCAAGAAGTCTTTTCTGTGAGCTGTCTAGTCACCCTTTTTTCCTGCATCGCCATTCCTGCGTCGTGAGCTTCCCTGCAGAGCGTTCTGTTTCCTTTCAGATCACGTTAACTTGTTGGGACAGAGTGTATGTTCTTATGTGTGTTTAGCTATAAACATAAAGTGAAGTGATTGAGTCTAACCATACATGAACATTACAGAGATTCAGAATTGTTTGTTTTCTACTGATACAAGCTGTTGATGTGGAATGGAACTTCAATCTCTTTTTACAGACTTGGCTAATATTTGGTTAAAATTTGCCTAGAACTTTATTACTTAAGTGCTCAGGATTGGAACTCAGATTTCACCTCAAATAGGACACAGTAACTTTGGTACTTGCTTGGTCTGAAAATTTGGTATCAGAGTAGACAGAAAACTGGAAACAGAGCACTTGTTTAAAAACACCAATGAAGACCTTAATAAAGGTTGCAGAATTTTTCCTGTGGACAAAGGGACAGCAGCTCGTCCCTATATATTCCATGGTAATATCCCATCATCCATTATGCCTGCAAAACAAATCTTTCTGTGTAAGAACAAGCTTACAGTATCTGTTACCAGTAAGATGGCAGTGTTTGATCATCAACTGTTTTATTTATTCCTGTTTTTGAACTGTAAACATTACAATGAAGTTGTCATGTCTCTCAAACAGCCTATGAAATACACCTGTAAGTTCAGATATGCTCTTAGACTTGCTGATGGATGGGTGTTGAACAGAAGTTGTTTCTTGCTCATTGACTTTCTCAGAAGATTATTTTTATGAGAGTTGGAGTCTCACTGTAATCTGGCAGCATAATTTGATCACAAGATATTGTCATTTTCACAGACCTCTGTCAGTCTCCTCAAAGTGAGTCTTTTTACTGGTGACTTAAGGTTTATCTGGAGGGGGAGCTGGATAAAGACAATTAAAATGAAGATTACAAGAAGAAGGTAGTTTCATATCTGATTTCTCTAAAAGCTGATGATTCTGTGCAAAAATGAAAATGTAGATCAAAACCAAAATGTGAGGCTGAAAGTGCTCACTTGCTGTGTCAGTAAATTACTTGAGGACAATACAAATTTCTGGAGTGTTAAGGTTCAGCAATTCTGGATAGAAAATGCCACAGCTATCTTATTTTTGTGTTCACATTTTTCAAGTGCTTGGGGAAAAATTAAAGATGATGAAAATTGAGAACAGAGTGCCAGTAATGTTATCATGTTGTTCTGATTATAGTCTCAATTTATAAGCCACATTAGTTGACAAAAATGTAACAGTTGAAGTTCTCTTCTTCTTCTCCCAGTTTTGCTAAGTATCGCATTATTTTTCTCACCTTTACTAGCCAAGAAAAATTCCAAACAAATATTCTTAAACTTCATACATTCTGCAAACACTGTGATGTGGATGTCTGGTTGCATTCTTACCAGCTTTGAAGTCTCCACCGAAAAAGTCTTGAATTATTCTGAGAAGAATAAGAGACATTCTGTACTGCATGTTTGACCAGCCTCAGGATCATAAGCTGCTGGCTAAAAGCTTTCAGTATGAAAACAGTGAGCTGTCTGCTCTTTTTGGTGTCACATTAAGGTCTAAGCTGTTTAAATTGGGAAGTGGGGATGAAACAGTTAACTAAAACACAGTTGAGATCCTTCAAAGAACCTCTGGATTTGCTTTTGGGTAGTATCTTAGGCCGTGATTTTCACATCTAACATGTTCTATTAGCTCTTCTGAGTTTGTGTGTTAATAAAACCATTGAGATAGGTTTATACCAAATGGGCAATCACTTTTTAGAGCCCTAATGGTACTACAGGGATTATTTATATGCTGATTTTTTTTTCTCCTTTCCATTGTTGCTGCCAATATATTTATATGTCCTGGATATATTAGCTGTATCCAGAATTGAATTTAGCAGTATTTCCAGTAGTTAAATGATAATGATGAGCTTCATTGATTGCTCTTCTGGTTTTGATTCTTCTGAATAAAATTGATGAGGCTGAGAGAGACAAGCCTAGTTCTATAAATCTTGGGGAAATGAGTAGCCTGTATTAGGTAGCCAACAGTAGCCAGTGAGGCTGGGTGTGCAAGAAAATATGCAGTTTGGTTTCTCAGTTCTGGTAACTAATCTTGTTGCTGTTGTTATGGTAGTGTTGTAACAAATCTTCTAAGTGCTGCATGAATATATATTGTCTATTTAGCAAAAGATAGTCCCAATCTGATCACCATTAATTTCTTGGAATTATTCAGAGAACTAGGGACCAAATGTGCCAGGAGAAAATAAAGTGGTTCCTGTTACTGAAAACTAGATAAGGTAGAGGAATAAGCTCCAAGGTTTTCACCAAGTCCTGAAGGGTTCTACACTAAGACCTGGGTTATTGCAGCTTTCATGGCTTGTCTAGAAAGGAGGTGGATGATGAAATTTGACTTTGGTGGGAAAGACAGATAGCAAGAGCTACGGAAGGACACAATGTGTAAGGGTGAAGTGTGTGTGATAAAATGGCAGGTGAAATTCAGTATAGGTAAATGGAGGACAATGCACAGCTAAAGAGCATTTTGACTTCTGCTGTGATGGGCTCTGAGCTGATCATGGTCACTGAGGAGTGCAATTTTGAGATTCTAATAGAGAATTCTATAAAATTGTCAGCCCAAGGTGTAGTGTCACAGGGCAAGAAAACAAATCAGTTGCCTCAATTTGAATTGTATCATTTTGCACACTTAAAATGTGGCATCATTCTGCAATTCCAAATATGTAGTGCAAACAGCATCTTGAAAACTATATGCAGGTCTGGTTGTGCTTTGGTGTTTGATTTTATTTTTAATTGAAAGCTTTAGGAAAGGCATACAGTTACCATACAGCTATTGATAATAGCCCATCTCATGTGAGAGGGTTTAGGTTTTGGGGCTTTTTTTTGTTGATTGGTTTAGTTTTTAAATACTGTGGCAGCCTGAGGGAACTGTGCAGCAGCTTTCATCTTTTAGCTTGTCCCAGGTATTACGTGTCCTCATAAGATTTTAAGTAAATACAAACTCCATTATCATAAAGTCTCCATGTCTTGTTTTGTTCAGAAATACGGAATTTAATACTTCTTGTCCTGTGCTCCTGTAAAATAAAATTATGGAGAAAGATTGTGCAATACTTACTGAACTCTTTGCAACTTTCCTTAAGGAAGAAGAGTCAGACAATGAGGAGAATTTTATTGACCTGAATGTTCTGAAGGCACAGACGTACAGATCGGTAAGTCGTTACCCATCAGTCCCCTCTGGAGAGATTTTTACATCTGTACCAGCAATTTCTGTTGGATTTAAGTCCGAAAATACTTGTCTAAATGTGAAAAAAACATTCCAACTGAAATGAATCAGCTTATCTTAAAAGAAAAACGTGCAGCCATTTTCTAAACTGGTACCCCTGTAAGGTTGCTGGAAATATTTGCAAGAAATTTTTGCAGAGA